CTTCTGTGTTTTGTGGCTTTATCTTCTCAGTCAGGTCTCAGAACTGAATAATAACCACTAATGACTTGCCAATCAATTATTATGGCTATGCTGATAACTTCTATTCCCAGCTTATTTATTTAACAGATAACTCTTGTTAATATTAGATAATGTTAGTATTTCAGGTTTTGCTTAACTTGGGAAAGTTGATAAACAATATTTGACTGTACTCTTAATAGTTCCTAATTGGAAACATTAAGTCTCTAAGTTATGAGCCACTGAGTCATCTGCTAATAATGCCCCATGAATGTTAGCTCCATTGAGAGCCAGCTGTCATACAACGCAGAATAACCAGATTCCTGCCTATGTGTGACGGTCTCTCTGAGCAAGGTATTCTCCCTATCTGTGCTAACATGGAGTTGAAAGTGTTTGTAAAAGGAGGAAAGTTAGACCTTTAAAAGAAGCATGCAGTTTGAAAATGATTACTTACTGAATAAGGTCGCAGTATTGGTGTAATATTATCTGAGTGGATGCTGATATACATAAAAGAGTACTCTCACAAGAAGCTTCCAAAATAACATAATGCACTAGCAGATAGGTATCTATAAGGTTAGGCAGTGAATGAAGAGTTCAGATGATAATCACCTCAACATTCCCATTTCCATTTGAATGTCACCGTTACTGGGCTCTTTTTAATTCTATTCCAGGACATGCATCTACCAAAAAGTTTTACTTTAGAAGTTTCTTGGTATGGTAGGAGGAGTTTGATGATGGTGGAAATATGTGGATATACTATCAGTATGGATGCAAGTATGTTTCACAGGTTAAATTATTCTAAAAATATTTTTATCAAATACCTTATTCTGATATTGCTTGCATCCGGGTTTAAATGCATACTTTCCTGGAGAAACGTGTTATCTTTTACTCTTGTCTCAGTAGGTACCAGACGTTCAAATGCTGTTTTCCCACCTCAAAGGAATTAAGGACCTAAAGGCAGTTACCACTGATATAGGAAGAGTGGCACCAATAAGTCATGCAGTGTGTAGAAAAGAAGAAAGCATCCCAACCAATCCTGAAAATGTTTGGCTGAGAGCTATGCACTGGGTGGCAGGAGAAACTGATTAACCTTTTACTCCTAAGAAGATTCCTCAGGCATAGAGCATGGTTAATGCCGTGAGACATACAGTATTTAATAGGTGTTCAGCATCTCCGAAAAAATATTAGTTATTGTAGGAATATCACTGATAGATTGTGGCTCTCGGAAAGCCTGGGGAGTAGAACCTGTACATATTTCACTTTCTTTGTCTTTTGCTGGCCTTTGTTGGAAGTCTTATGGAGCAGTTTAAGTGGGCAGAAGATGAGCTAAAGGAATGGGAGGAGGAGACATAAGGAACCCGCAAAATTAAATATCCTGCCAAGAAGCTTGTCCATTCAGCAGCTTCCATTGCTTAGCACTTGGCCTGATCCTGTGAAGGATGCAGAAGCAATGTAAGAACTGGCCCCTGCCCTCCAGAATCACCATCTAAGTGGGGCTACAACACAGGAAAATGTGCACTGAACATCAGAGCCAGGAAGTGCCATGATGCAGATGCCTACCAGAGAGCTAGGAAAGGTCAGAGAAGGGGCCAGAGTGTTGTCTGGATTGTCAGGGAAGGCTCCCGAGAGGAGCCTGGGTTGAGCTTTTGAGACCAGGAAGTTAAGGTTAGCAGAGGCCAGGGAAGGAGCAGCATTCCAGAATGAGCAGATATTTGGAGTGGCAAGGATAGCTGAGGGCCCCGGAAGCTGTTCTGGGTAAAGAGAACACATGTGGGAACATATACAGATTTCATTAGAGAGGCAAGAGTGGCCAGATTATGAATTGTCATGTAATTTTGGAGGAGGGTTTGGATTTCATAATTTAAGCAAATAGCATGATGGAATCTACATCAAAGGTGGGTTGCTGTGAAGGCAGTATTTAGAACAGAACAGGAAGAAAGCCAAAAGCAAGAAGACCATTTGGCTGGCAGTTTTCTGAGGGTAAGAATGAGATAGATACCTGAATTGGGATGGTGCAGCTGTGAATTACTGAAGGGTCAATTTCATACTGCAGAGGAGGAAAGCGCTTTACTTAGAAAGGGGACAGGGAGGGCTGAACAGTGTACAAACTTTGCAAGGGTGGTTTGCAGAGAGAACAGGGGAGTTCTTGCAGGGGGGTGGGGTGAGTGGAAACATGGGAATTTGAGCTAGATTACAGGGAAGAAGATGAATTTGGATTCAGACTCATTAAATCAGACATAAAAGCTATTCTTTGTAGCATTGTCATGAAAACATTTGAAGTCATAGACTGAAATTCAGATGAGAAGCCAAATCATATCCAAAAATCTCCTGCATTCATCAGGGAAAAATTAGTTTAAGTGAAGACAGCAGTGGGGCCAAAACCTAACTGTGAGGGCTAACTACTGTTTGGATGGAATTATAATATTTTAGATAAGATTTAAGAGGATTCTAATTCTAGCTACTTGATAGAAATGCAAATGATGATAAGGCTTTTAGAGTTAGATAAGAGAAAGAGCTAGCATCCTGATATTGTATAATTGAAACAGAGATTCAGGTCCTTTAGTGAAGAATATTAGATATTTTAAGATTACAGATAGGTTATCTAATCTAATTTATCTACCTGTTGTTGAGATTATTTAATTTGCATTTACTGTGTTTTCATCGGCTTATCATTTCTCTCTTCTAGAGCTAACTTATCTCTTGTTAGAAATTTTGGAGAAATAAAGTGTTTTATTTCTTTATGGATAGAATAGTCCCAGAGAGAGAGAGAAACAAGGATGGACACTTAGAAGACAGTCCAAGGAGAGAATTCTAATGCCTGACAGAAGTAATGTTTAGAATGAGGGCTTTTAACTCAAGTTCTCACAGACATGGGATAGGAATCTTTGCACCAGATTTTCTTCCAATAATAGAGTTAAATGTGTGTCATTTGCTTCATTAAAATGGAGGTAGCATCCTATCCTCTAACAGTATATCATGATCTCAAGAAAATAAAAATGTACCATTTCTACTTCATGGCTAAAAATGACTTGGGCTGGTTGTAAAAATTAGTTATAGTGGCATGTATCAGCGTATTTAAAAGTAAAAATGCACTGCAGAATGTGCAAGGAATAGATAAGAACTTTGATTATAAACAAGAGCATACTTCATGGTAAGTGAAAAGCAAACATGAGGCCATTCATGAGAAAAGTATGTCATGAATACATCAGTGTGTATATGAGGGCTCCAAGGTCATTGATTCTAAGAATAACTAAACTCCCTCCAATTCCCTGGCTAGTCTGCTTGGGTGGTGTCTGGGAATCTCCTTAATAAGTCACTGATATCCATAGATATCCCTAGAACCCTTTCCTGGCAAGAATATTAACTTTGGAAGAATTCTGTGGTTGTCAAGTCAAGCGGTTACCTGAAGAGAGGCAGAGTATATTGGAAGATGATGTAAACTCGTTCCCAGTTAGATTAGCTCACTTTTACCCCATCCTTGGCTGTAAAAAACTTTTTGTCACAGTTCAGATTAGGCCATGGTACAAGTAACAGCAACTCAAAAACCTTAAATAGGCTTCAAAAAGATAGTTATTTCTCTTTCCCAAAAAGTCCTTGAAACAACCCACAGCTGGAGGAGGGCTGGTCATCTCCCTTCCAGGAAATCTTTAGCTATTCAGGTTCTTTTAGGCTCATGCTCCACCATCCAGAGGGGAGACTTTCCTCCTCATGGACCAAGATAGTAGCTTTTAAATTCCAGGCAGCAGGACAGAATGAAGAGCCAAAAAGGCAGGCAAAGGCATGTGCCCACTTAGAAAAGGTCCCAGAAGCTGTCTCATCACCCTTGTGTTGATATTTCATTGGCCAGAACTTGGTTGTATGGCTATACCAAACTGTAAGGGAGGCTGAGAAATGGAGCCTTCTCTCTAGGCCAACATAGCCCAGTGCATGACCTATGACATGAAAGAAGCGAAGAATAAATACTGGCAGAAAGTATAAAAGCACACCTTCCTTTCCATTGCAGTGGCACCTTGGTATCAGCAGGTCAAATTGTATAGCTGCCTGCGGAGGTGCCTGAAACAGGGTGGCAGTTGCAGAATAGTGCAGCAGTTGCTAAGAGCAGGTACCCTGGGGTCACACCACTTAGGTTTGATTCCAGATTTTTCTCAGATGTAAAGAGGAAATAATACTAGTACCTTCCATTTAGAGTTGTTGTGACGATTAAGTAAAATACTGAATGTAGCATGTTCAGCATGTTATCTAAGACTTCAGAACCATTTGATAAATGTCATTAGCTATTATATTAAAAGTAAAATGAACTCTTAAAAAAAAAGTAAAATGAAAAGTTTTAGAACATCCATATACATGTAACTTTTCTATACATCCATGCAGTATGGAGAATATATTTACTTTTTTTCCAGCTATAATAAGAGTCAGAGTGGTTTTCATTTCTAATTGCACTTTTCTCCTTTTGAAAATAAGCTGGCATGTGCATTTGGAGGTGGTTTCTAACAAATTGTATGAATGATTTTCTTAAATTTTCCATGGGTTCGGCATATTTCGTTGACACCATCTTACAGGCTTTTCTTTATAACAGTTTCTATGTGAAGGGTTATTTTACCCTACGAATCTACAGCACACCCTTTCCACTGATGTAACAAAGTGGGGATTGGGCACTTCATCAAGAGGATGAGGCCATCGTTGGCCATCCTTGCATGGATGGTGTTCAAAGATGGCAGTGTGGAGTGGGTATTCTCTGTGTTTGCCTATAAAAGGATAGACAGCTCTGAATTGCTAAATACTATTGTCTATCAAAATGTAAAAGTTTGGCTTGTTCTTCATTTACAAATGGTGATAGGAAAGAAGTGGGTGAAAATATAGCTTGATAATCCAACTTTGATGTGACAATTTTCTCATGATTGCAGACAACAAAAGAGTTGTGTTGAGATATTTTTGCCGAGACCTAAATGCTCTTTTGCTTCTCTCCTTTTCTTCCTTTCTCAAAGCCCCCTCTTTGTTCTGTGGCTTTTCTTTTGTAACTCCTCCAGGCTACAGCTTTGTTCCCCCTTCTTCCACTCCTTTCTGGTCAGGTACTGCTTTACTGCTTTTATTTGTCTCTTCAACTTGCTTCTGCTTGCAAATAAAGTATTTGAGTTCAATGTATGGCTTCTCATATAGATACGTCTCCTCACAGACAGTCCCTCAAGCTCCATTACCACCATGCACTTTACTCTTCTCTGTCATAAAGTCATTGTCGTGACATTTCACTCATTTTTGCGTGTGTGCTCATGCCATGTATTTCAGTAAGACATTTTATAATTTACCTGTTGGGGAGAGTTTGGAGAGGGATAGGGCTAGAAGTAGAAAGGAGAATGAAAATCTATAAAATCATTATTTTTCTTGAGAACCAGAAATTTTAGTTGAGAAAAGCCAATATTTATGTATTTTCCTAAAGAAAATGAATAGAATTAAAAGCCAAACTTTGTTTCCAAATATAAAATAAAATTTAGTACATATGACTTGAAAAGATGACTGGCGCCCATGAATTCTGAATTTCTTCAGGTTGTGCCTGGGCGTTTTGGTCTTGATTTCTGTCATTAGCCAGAGAGTTTAATGGCTATTTACATGACATTAGATAAAGTCTGTTTCCTGACAGATGTTTAAAAATTAACCTGCATATCCCAATAATAATTGAAGAATTTAAAACTAGAAAAACCTTAGATGTCATCTAGTACAAACCTTTCATTTCATATATGAGAAAAATGTGACTTCGAGGGGTTAGAAGACCTATGCAAGGTCACACCGTTAAGTCGATGATTGGGTTTTTCCGTCACAGGGGTGTTTTTATGTGTACCGACTCTAACAGTAGTGCCCTAGTAATGGGACAGTTTTCAGTGAGAAAGCTATTAAAGTGGTTTGTGTCCTGAACAGTAAAATAAAATGACCTATTTTTACTCCCTTTACAGTTCTGAAATCTACAGTATTGCCATTCATTTATCTCATGATGGACACCTGGAGTCTAAAAAATTTTATGTCATTACAAAGCCATGAATAATAGGTCAGAGATCCCTGTGGCCAAGTGGGCAGGCCCTTCCAGGGTAACACGGGTCATAACTTCTACTGCCTGAGCCCTGGGAACTGTTAAAAATACAGATGGATGGTGTTTCCCATTTGTCTCTTTTTCTTACACTTAAGTTCCTTTACCATTTAAGATTTATAAAGTTTTACCAATCTCCGATGAGTGATTCTCAGATTCACTGAACATATAATTGAAAACACTTTATAACCCCGAAGAGCAACAGGTAGGGAAGTTAATATAAAATGTGCTGTGAAACACTAGAGACTAACAAACTGAACCGCTGGAATGGAGTTTTCTTTTCAGAACAGGGCCAGCAAGGGCAGGGAGAAAGTTAGCTCCTCTCCTGCCGTCAAAAATTAAACACACACACACACACACACACACACACACACACACACACACACCCCACCTCTGGACACAGGAGATGAATACCCGAATACCTTGCCATCTTGTTTTTGATTAGATACATCAGTAAAGGTTTTCTGTAAGGCAGTATTTGTTTCAAAGAAAGAAAATATATGGATAGTATTTGTTTCTTCTGATTCACACCCCTTCACATAGGTGAATTATATAGAGAACTGTAACTAAATTTATCACCAAATAGTTTTAACATAGAAAGTCTCTAGGGGAGAGTGCCACCTAACCAGAAGTGAGCATAGATTTGACAGACTTACATCAGAGCAAAATGTTTCTTCGTTTTGAGTGTTAGTTGAAGCAGTTACTGGATGAAAACATAAAGCTTTATCTTGGAGGTGCTAGTTAGAAACAGATGACTGGCCATCAGTAGGAAATTTTTGATGAAATTATTTTAGATTCTATCTCCTTAGATACTTAGATATTAACCAGGTTTTTTTAAATTTGGGATTCTTTGTTTTGTTTCATTTTTACAAACACTAGTCTTTACTTTGAAGTTCTTATATATGAAGAATGAAAGAAAGGACAGTGGTTCTTTAAACTTTATGAAATGAATTTGCCTGCACCTGATTGAATTGAAAGAGCAATTTGCTGCTTTCAAGCTCCTCTACCATTATCGCTGGTCTGTAATGAAATCATGACTGTGCATTTGATAGCATCAATAACATTCATCTGATTGGGTTCTTACGGTTGTTAACTAACTGCAAGCTTACTCTCATTCCTTGTCATTTTTGACAGTGTTAAGCCCAAAAGTGCTGGGCATTGCCATCGCTCGGTATGACTTCTGTGCAAGAGATATGCGAGAGTTGTCCTTATTGAAAGGAGATGTGGTGAAGATTTACACAAAGATGAGTGCAAATGGCTGGTGGAGAGGAGAAGTGAACGGCAGGGTAAGCTGGCCCTCCTGATGTCCTGGTGCACCTGAATGAAGGGGACTGAGCAGTTGTTGATACCCATTGTGGTGCCAGGGAGAAGCCTCTATACCGTATCGCAGCCTTCAGCCCACAGGCCCCTGCCCTCTGGAGACTGGTGCTATATTTTGCTGGTACTAGGGACTCACTGGAAATATTTGAAATGAATATGATAGTGACATAAATAAAATTCACCTGGGCAAGTGTGGTAGCTTCCTGCTTGGAAAAGAGTTGAGGAGCACGTCAGCTCTTTTTAGACCCTGAGCCATTGAGCTAAACTTTATGTGTATTGCAAAATATCTATACGAGCTGCTGATCTAAATTGGAAAGAATGGGACGTAATACCTCTGTCTTTTTATCCTGTTCTACAGCAGAAATAGGAATCATTATGCATCAGAGCCCCCCGTATTATACTTAATTTACATATTTATTTGTGTGCTAGTGGATTAGAACACTGTTTAAGTTTATTTTATTCCTCCATTTTGGTCATTCACTCTATTAGGCTTCTACGAGCAGTCAAACCAATCCTCTCACCTACAATGAGAGGATTGTAAAACCCCCGTTTCATTGGGGTACTACGGAAACAAAATGCTGTGTTGTAGAATCCTTTGAAGTGTCAGATACAAAGTCATGTTGCTATGTTCGTTGCTTTTCTTTTTTAGGTGGGCTGGTTTCCATCCACATATGTGGAAGAGGATGAATAAATTCAAATCCAGCATTGCATCCTGCACCAAAAATTTCAGAGAAGTGATAAACAGAGGCCTGCACAGCATTGTGAATTAACTGAAGTGTTTAAAAAGCTGCATTTCTGGCTGTTCAACATCCTCGCTCCTTAACCCCTCCTAAGTCTTAATGCTGAGATTTCTAAAAGATGCTGGTACTGACAGATTAATGGCTTGCCTAGAGCTGTTCAAGAAGCAGCCTGCCTGTCTGTCATTGTCAGGGACCAGGGCAAAGCCAAGAGCTGTTCTTCCCAGAAGAGCCCTGCAAACACATTGGTTCATGTGTCTCTACTTCATCTGGTCAGATACCATGAATGCTAGTCATTAGTAAATCTTTAATACAGTTTTGCTTTATTCTCACCTGCCATTCACCAGATTATGATGGTGCAAAGAAGCAGAAGTATAATTTTTCTTTTCCCAGCATGAAGAAACATTGGCGCTCTGCCATTTGAGCAGCTTACTGGAAAGATCCAGCCTTACTCGTCTTAAACTGTCCAACAAGGTGACTCATTGCCCGACAAACACTTTTACCCTCAGATGTTACTTGTGTTATTATTAAATATGAGGCCAGTGCTCAGGTTAGCATCATAAAGTGAAATATCCCTGAAGGGTTTTAATTATTCATTTGGTGTCCTGGTTATACTTGCAAACCTCTTTATAAAAAGGGAAAAAACACATAAAAGAGAGAGTAATCTTCATAGTTAACCTTCACAATCTTTATGATTTCATAGGATTATTTTGGAAATCTAGTACTTGACTTTATGAAAGAATCTTGGCTGGGTGTATTATGTGTAGTTGCCAATAATCTGAATAAGGTGGTATTGTTGACAGAAACAGATCAAGGGCTATAAATTATGTCATTTTAGAGCAGCAATATCTATTAACACATGCCTTTTCCTCCCACCCCCCCTCCCCCCCGACACAAAAATTACTTTTTGATTCCCACATTTTCTTAGAGCACAAACAACTTCATTAAGGATTTTGGAAGGAAAGCACAGCTAGGTCCTTTATTCATTTCTGGGACAGAAAAAGGGACATTGGGCTTTCAGTTTCTCTCAGAGTCTCGCCCTGGGCAGCCTGTCCTGGGAGTGTATTAACAGGAGGGAAGATCAGCCTTGCAGTACATTTGTTTTGCCAAGCCATCACTCTTGAGCCCCCAGTCGAGGCAGTCCAGTTAAGACACTGACTTGGCCCTTCCCTGATGAAATACTTCCTCCATTGCTGAAGTCGTATACTGACAAGATTGAGAGAGTTTTCATTTTTGGAAAAATAACAACAACCCAAAGTTAGAAGCATTAACTTAGTAGAGCTGAACCAGGGGCATTCAATTCTGAAATTTCAAATCATCTCTGAAACGGAGCGGGTGTGGCCTGCCCTCTCCTCAAGCCATTTGGGTACCAGAATTCATGGTTGACTGGATACATCCCCCTGTTAGAGACCCTCATGGGCTAGGACTTTTCATCTAGGGTAGATTCAAGACCTTTACCTCAGAATTATGTAAACTGTGATTGTGTTTTAGAAAAATTCTTATTTGCTAAAACTAGTTAAGTCGTTGTATATGTGTAAATGATGACAAAAATGTATTTTATAAAATGTTCTGTACAGTAGAGTTACACCTCAAAGTGTACTGTTGGAATGGATTCCTTTCTATAAAGTCTTATCGGTGACTCTGTCTCGGGAATGTTTTGTCTGTTGCCATCAGCCAACTTTGTTGTGGAGGGAGCAGCCTCACCCAGGCAGAACACTCCTGTGGATGGTATTGTAGCATGTTTTGTTTGTTTTAGTCAACAGACCCTCTCCTTATACGTAGTGTTTAGTCTTCCTGTTGCATTTCATGGGCCCAGGGGTTTCCTAGCAGAGGATATTAGAGCCCCTTTTTCGTGACATTACTGATTACATCCCTGTCTATGTTTAATACTTTGTATTGGAAACTTTAAATGCTGCGGATTTGTGTAGAGTTCTAATACCAAAGACGGAAGTAAGTGTTTTCCATATACTTTGTCTTGCCTGTATGCAGCCCTTGTGTAATATGGTGAATTAGAGTGGTATTTCGCTTTGTATTATTTTGTAAATATGTCAATACAATAAATAGTGACTAAGTTGATTTCTCGGAGTTGGAGTCTTTTTATTGAATGATCCCTGTATTAGTCAGGGTTCCGCTGAAAATGGATGGTGCTGGATCATCGGGTCTGTACCCGGCTGTCGCCAGCAGTCCAAAGTGGATGGGAGTGGTGGGGGGAGCAGGAGTCACCTCCCTCCCACCATCAGCCCTGCAGGCGCTACCTGTCAAATGGGACAGCTGCAGCAGTGACCCAGGGCTGAGCCTGGGTGGAGCCACCGCAGGTGCAGATCTTGGTGGTAGTAGCAAATATTCGAAGGAGAACTTTTGAAGGCCGAAGTCGAAAAGGGTTCCATGTGAACAGCAGCTGAACGTGGGTTGGTCAGTCAGTCCTGAGAGATTGGTGAGCGCCACTTTGAAGTGACGAGTGATGGCCTCCATTGCACTCAGCCAATCCAAAGGGAGTCAGGTTCAGATCTCCGAATCCGGAGTGGCAGAGATGGGCACTGCCAGGTGTCCAGCACAGCAACGCAGTGGGTCCCAGAGCAGCCAGCAGGAGCCCCAGGGAGAGTTCCCTTCTCTTTGCGAAGGTCAGGGTGCCCTGAAATTGGGTTCACCTAGAGAGAGGGGTCCATGCCTTGAAAAGCATCGCGGTTCCAGTGGCATCTAGTGAGCTCTGGCTGGCCCTTGAAAATCCTGGAGAGAGGGTGTAAATCTCATGCTGAGCTGTACCCGCATCTGCAGCATTCCTCCCTCTGGAACTAAGACCACTAGGCTGCAGAGCATAATATTGTGGGAACAGGAAACAACAATTTTGCTAATGTATCACTAGGGGTGATGGTGAGTGGTGCCACTTCCACTTCTACCCCTTAATTCCTGGACCTGTGAGTCCTGGCTATGGGAGAAACAGTACCATATATTTAATGCTGATTCAGAGCATACACGACCTTCTAAAGAATTTTGTCCCAGCCCTGCCAAGTATTGTCACCTAATTGGCATTGTAACTGTGCCTTGAAAAGGCCATCCTAACTTTCTATCCTGCTGCTTCAGTATGATGTGGAACATGGTAAGACCAGTGAATTCCATGAGCACAAGCCCACTGCTGCACTTCTTAAGTCGTAAAGTGAGTGCCTTGATTAGATGCAATGCTGTGTGGAATACCATGGTGGTGGATAAGGCATTCTGTGAGTCCATGGTTGGTAGTCTTGACAGAAGGATTGATGCAGGATAGGCAAATCCATATCCGGAGTAAGTGTCTATTCCAGTGAGGACAAACCTCTGCCCTTTCCATGATGGAAGAGGTCCAGTAATAATCTACCTGCCACCAGATAGCTGGCTGTTCACCCCGAGGAATGGTGCCATATCGAGGGCTCAGTGTTGGTAGCTGCTGCTAGCAAATTGGGCGCCCAGCAGAGTCCATGGCCAGGTCAGCCTTGGCAAGTGGGAGTCCATGTTGCTGAGCCCATATGTAACCTCCATCCCTGCCACCATGGCCTCTTTGTTCATGGGCCCATTGAACAATGATAGGGCTGGCTGGGGAAAGAGGCTGAGTGGTGTCCACAGAACAGGTCATCCTATCCACTTGATTATTAAAATCTTCCTCTGCTGAGGTCACTTGTTGGTGAACACTCACATGGGATACAAATTTCTTCACAGTTTTTGATCACTCAGAGAAATCCATCCACGTACGTCTTCCCCAGATTTCTTTGTCACCAATTTTCCAATCATGCTTCTTCCAAGTCCCTGACCAACCAGCCAAATTATTGGCTACAGCCCATGAATCAGTATATAATCACACATCTGGCCATTTCTCCCATGAGGATCCATTTCCTCTTCTGTAATAAAGAGATCATTAGGCCAGGTGCAGTGACTCATACCTGTAACCCCAGCACTTTGGGAGGCCAAGGTGGGCGGATCATAAGGTCAGGAGTTAGAGGCCAGCCTGACCAACATGGTGAAACCCTGTCTGTATGAAAAATACAAAAATTAGGCAGCTGTGGTGGCATGCACCTGTATTCCTGGCTACTCAGGAGGCTAAGGCAGGAGAATCGCTTGAACCTGGGAGGCAGAAGTTTCAGTGAGCCGAGATCGCACTGCTATACTCCAGCCTGGGTGACAGAGCAAGACTCTGTCTCAAGTAAGGAAATAAATAAATAAAGAGATCTTTAAAAGTGCCTGAGAGAGCTGTTATGAAGAATAAATAATAACATGAGAAAAGCCCCTAGTACAGAGCCTCACACGTAGTAGGTATGCAAGAAATGTTGGTTTCCCTCCCCTTATGAAAGATAAGATACTCAGGTACAAAATTATGTACTTGTAGCCTTTATTTTGAATATTATTGAGAGTTTATGTTTTTTTTTACACATAGTTTAATTTCTTCACTCAAATTATGGACAGAGTAAAAGGTATACATGTTCAGGAAGATTAATATGCAAACCCACAAACAACCTCAGAAGTTGAAGCTAACGGCTGTACATTATTTTGACTAGGAAAATGGAATTTTTACTTAGCTCATAATCATTTAGACTGAGTCCATTAGTCACTTCATTTTTCACAGAAACTAGTTTGCTGGGATTGGTTGGACTCTGATTAGAAATGTTATGCACCCATATCTGGTCTGGCAGACTTTGGAAGCCACCGTATTCTAAGTAATGAGCAAGTCCCAGAAAGGATATCGTAAAGGAATTCCGTCTCTCATTCGGTGCCATTGATTAAACCAGATTGAGGGAAACAGTGACAGAAAACAAACTTTTTTCTGAAGCACTCTGGACACACTAGCTCTCTCAGTCCCTGAATTTCTAGGCACAATGCAACTACAAATCCCCAGGCGCATGGCCAGATGGGGAGAGGCCGTGGTGCAGAAACAGAGTGTACACAAAAGCCACTCCACACCCTGTTCTCTAACGGATGTTGGGGTCCACGTTGAGAGTGCCGAATAGGAGGGAAGGTGAACTCTAGAATAGCCAATGTGTCCAACTCATGATCTGGCTTGTCCAAGGTCATGCAGGTAGAAAATAGTGTCAAGGTAAAGACTCGAACTTGGGTGTCCCAGCTCCAAGTCAATAAATGCTGTCTCTGTTCCTCTCTCTTACATCAGCACTCAAGAGCCTCCGACTCCACAATTATTTCCTCCGTTCTTGAGGCCTTTCTTCTGGGAATCATTCTGGGTGACTGCTGGGATCCTAGATCAGGTGAGAATATGAGTGAGTCACAATCCTTGCACCTCTTGCTGTCAGCCTGTCGTGATGAATTTGAAACAAGTCAATAAGAATAGCAATGACTCAGGAGTCTGATCAGGAAATACTTGTGGATTTTCTTGTTCTTTCTTTTTTTTTAACTTTAAGTTCTGTGATGCACGTGCAGATGCAAGTTTGTTACATAGGTGTACATGTGCCATGGTGGTTTGCTGCACCCATCAACCTGTTACCTAGACATGGATGATGGATTTTCTAGTGATCCAAATGACCTCTCTGCTGAAAGTGAATTTTTTTTCCAATGATAATTTTTAGTCCTTCTCCTTTTCTCCTTTGGCTGTTCTTTTTGTACCGGCATCTGCCAGACAGCATGCTAGGTAATTGTTGTATATTATCTCATTTATCTCCTATAATCCTTCTGAGAATTCGTTACAGACTGACATCATCCCATCTTTTAATCATGAAAAATCCTGTCCTAGTTTAGTAAGTCTTCTACACTAGGGTTGCTTTTCAAGGCTATTTGACATGTTTTACGAATCTATATGATCTTTTTGTCTAAAAAGCAGTATAAACTAGTGGTTAAGACTTTGGAACCAGACTGCCTGACTCTACCACTTTTTAGCTGTATGACCTTGGGCAAGATGCTTACACTGCCTAGTCCTCTGTTTCTCCATAGTTAGAATGGGATTATGATAGCACCTTAGTTCAGGGGGGTTTGTGAGGATTAAATGAAAGATTAGCTGTAATTTTTTTTTTTTTCCGAGATGGAGTTTCACTCTTGTCGCCCACGCTGGAGTACAATGGTGCAATCTCAGCTCACTGCAACCTCTGCCTCCCGAGTTCAAGCAATTCTCCTGCCTCAACCTCCTGAGTAGCTGGGATTTCAGGCATGCACCACCACACCCATCTAATTTTGTATTTTTAGTAGAGATGGGTATCTCCATGTTGGTCAGGCTGGTCTCAAACTCCTGACCACAGCGGATCTGTCCACCTTGGCCTCCCAAAAAGCTGGAATTACAGGTATGAGCCACTGTGTCAGCCATAGCTGTAAAATTTTTAGAAATGTGCCTGACAGAGTAGACATTCAGTAAATAAGAGAATCTAAAATTGCATGTTGACCACTACTTTAAATATGCATGCAAAAATAAGTGTTACAAATTGTGAAAACTCAGATATGTTAAAAGTTCCCTTTAAATATGTTTAGCCTTTAGAAGAAACTTCTTGAGTTGATTTATTTTTTGAGAAGGAGTTTCACTCTTGTCACTCAGCCTGCAGTGCAATGGCTCAATCTTGGCTCACTGCAAACCTCTGCCTCCCGAGTTGAAGCAATTCTCCTGCCTCAGGTGCCTGCCACCACATCTGGCTAATTTTTTTGTGTGTGTTTTTAGTAGAGGCAGGGTAGCACCATGTTGGCCAGGCTGGTTTTGAACTCCTGATTTCAGGTGATCCACCTGCCTTGGCCTCCCAAAGTGTTGGGATTACAGGTGTGAGCCACCATGCCCAGCCTTGAGTTAACTTTTCACATTAGTGATCCTTTCAAAATGATGCACAAATGGAACCCCAATCAAATGCTCTACCACAGCACCATGTATTAGGGATCCACTGCTACCCGAAAAATTCTGTACTCCCAAACTTCGCAGTTGGGTACAGCAAACAACTATTATTTCACGGTTTCTGTGGGTAAGAAATCCAGGAGCAGATTCGCTGTGTATTACTGACTTCGGGTCTCCCATGAGGCTTCTATCAACGTGTCAGCCAGGCCATAGTCATCTCCAGGCCCAACTGGGGGAGTCTGCTCCACAGTTCACTCCTCTGGACCTCTCCACATGGCTGCCTCACAACATGGCATCTGGCTTCTCCCAAAATAAGCATCCAAGAGGGAAAGAGCAAAAGCACTTGAGATGAAAGCTGTTCTTTTTTTTTTTTTTTTTATTGGATTTTAGGTTTGGGGTACATGAGCAGAGCATGCAAGACAGTTGCGTAGGAACACACATGGCAGTGTGCTTTTCTTTCCTTCTCCCCTTCACCCACATTTGGCATTTCTCCCTAGGCTATCCCTCCCCACCTCCCCCTCCCACTGGCCCTCCCCTTTTCCCCCCAATAGACCCCAGTGTTTAGTACTCCCCATTCTGTGTCCATGTGTTCTCATTTTTCATCACCCACCTATGAGTGAGAATATGTGGTGGTCTTTTTATAACCATCTTAGAAGTGACAGCCCAGCACTCAACTCTATTCTATCCCTTAGTGTTGAGTTACTAAATCCAGCTCATGCTCAAGGGGAGGGGCTTATACAGGATGAACACCACGACAAAGGAATTGTTGGGGGCCATCCAACCAGCTGCCTACGACAGATTGGTGCATTGAATGGTCATTGGACCCAAAGATGAGTCCTATCTGAAAGGCTTGTGTTACTTCAGAGAAACTTAAAGGAATCTAAAATGTAGTTCTTACTAAAAAATAATTTCCTATTGTTTCCTTTAATCAATATTTACTGAGCCCACTCTATACCAGCCTCTGCAGGGAATACAAGGATGAATAAGAGAAGGAGGTGTTCCCAGGGAAGCTTATTTTCTTTGCGCCTTTCCTCATTTAGGAAATGCCTTTCCTGAGGCTCGGATTGTTGGGAGAGAGAAAGAGGAAGAAAGGAAGAGTGGGAGAAGTGTCCAGTATGTGTGATGCAGGCTCAACCGCACAGGAACACAGAGAAAAGCGAAAATCACAACCAGGCATGCCCTGGACGTAGCTGTCAAAAACTTACAACCCTAAAATCCCAGAGTATGTGGCAAATCATCCATTCCTTCATTTTTTCATTCTTTCCTTCAACAAATGTGTATCGAGCTCCTTCTACAAACTCTATAATTCTAGCCTTTGAGGTTACAACAATGGACCTGACACGATTCCTACCCTTGAAAAACATATCTGCTTGCAGATGATGATGAGTAAGACACAGGTACGTAATGTTTGCCTCCATAACACTTGTTATGGAGGGAAGAAAAGGCAAAATAAGTGAGGAAAGTGTTATTTGAATGTGGTGATCAAAGGCGGCTTTATGAGGAAATTGCTTTTTTTGGCAGAGACCTAATTTAAGTGAGAAGAAAAAAAAAAAGTGAATATCTGAGTGCTTAGTGTTTGGAGAAATACAAGGGCCCCTTGTGGTTGGAGCGGTGAAAAGGAAGAGAGTTTCTGGGAGCAGATCTGGTAGATCTTATAGGCGGGGAAAGGAGGGTGACAGTAGCCACTGGAGGCTTTTATGCAGGCATGTGAGGTGATCTCATTTACATGTCAGTAAGCTCACACTGGATGCTGTGGACTGAGATAGAGCTAGACCCGTGCAATCAACACTGGCTTTCTTTGATAACAGCTCCTGTATTTGTTTGCCAGGGATGTCATAATAAAGTACCACAAACCCAGTGGCTTAAGTAGCAGAAATTTATGGTCTCATAGTTCTTGAGGCCAGAACTCGAAGATCAAGGTCCCTGCAGGGTCATGCCTCCTCTGAAGGCACTAGAGAAGGATCCACTCCAAGGCTATCTCCTGGCCTCTGTAGTCCTTGGCTGCTGCAGCAGCATAGCTGTAATCTTCACGTGGCATTCTCCCTGTGTGTGTTTCTGTGTCTAAAATTCTCCTTTTTATAAAGACACCAGTTACATTTAATTAGGGGCCCACCCTACACCAGCCTGACCTAGTCTTGACTAATCACATCTGCAACCACCCCATTTCCAAATAAGGTCACATTTTGAGGTACCAGTGCTTAGCACTTCAACATATGAATTTGAAGGGGACACAATTAAATTCGTAACAGCTCTCTTTCTTATACTCTCATGTTATTAAAGTGCATGCTAAATGATACAAATGCTTCAGCAGAGATTACTCGGGGCAGGGTGCAGCATGGGAAGAGTAGAGTGAGCCAGAGTGAGGCTATACTTAGGGATGGATGTGTTCACAGCCTGTCTCTGTCCCGCTCAACCTCAAGGGGCGTAAAAAAGGCCAAACTTTTGTAGAAATTCAAGTAGATACTGGTAGAAACAATACCCTTTCCACCCATGTGTTTGTCACCTTCTCAGGCCATCAGCCCCAGATGAATTACCTTTTTATTTTTCTTCCTCACTCTGTGTCAGAATCACACATCTTCCCACCAGGAGAGGAAAGCTCCTAGGTACTTTTGTGTAGGTGAGCTCATTAGGAAAAAGCAACCTATTTAAGTGGATTAATGAAACACTTCTGGACTCTGTGCAAATTAGGTCTACATAATATGAAGAAGGGAGAAAAACTGTTCTGTGGTTTTATAGAAAGGTGGGAAATGCCCTCAGCATTTATTATGCTTAATGATGAGATATTGTTGCTAGGTGGTTCGAAGGATAAAGTTTACATTAATAGTCTGTGAGGCAATGAATCTACATTAGTGTGAAAAAAATTGTTTTCTTTATCTGTGTGCAGCCTATCTGGTTTACTCATTACGTGGTTTATTTTGCAATGTCTCTAAACTGCTGGATATAATCTCATTTTTTAAGCTCCTGCCTCAAAGATTGAGTGGATATTTAGGAGGGGCATCCAGGAAAGGGGGAGTGGATAAGCCCTAAATTAATAATTCTGGAATGATATACTGAACATCGCACTATCAGTTTGAAGCTGTCGGGCTGAAAGATCCAAATGAAAATCTGTTGTGTCCTCTTAGGACTTCTCAGCACAGCCCAAAACAAAATTGAAATTGTGCAAGAGGCCTAAACTGAACTTTCATAACCACATGACAAGTTATTTTTACAACAATGAGCAGTTTCAAAGTTCTTAATGTAAGTACATGTAGTTTTTCCAAGATAATTCTGCAATACAACTATTGCGGTGGTGGAAAGAGCACAGGAACAAGAATAAGACTAACCACGTTCTAGTTCTTGACTCTTTCACTAATGAGCCAAGAGGCTCTGCGTGGAACCTCTCTGAGGCTCAGTTTTCTCATCTGTAGAATGAAGAAATCAAGCCCACTTCCAGTTCTAACATCCCATTATCCTGCATAAAGACATTCAATAAATATTTGGCCATGATACATCTTCATGAAATCAAATTTGTAAATGGGACAGAGAACCGAGGCTCAAACAAAAATAGGTGGACAACTTTGAAGGGCATAAATCTTGCAACATTCTCTTCTTAATATCTCTGTTTCTTTCACCTGAGTCCCAGTCAACCTCATGTAGCCCAGATGATTGCAAGAGCCCCTAACTGCCATCCCTGCTTCCATTCTCGCCTCCCTCTAATCTTTTGATTATATTATTTCATTCCCTTTTTCAGAACTCTTTAACACCTCCCATTTATTTAATTCATGGCACAAGTGCTGGAAATACATGGTGAACAAAACAGACAATTCTTTGCTCTTATAGAGTCTACTTTATATTGGAAAGAACAGGGAGATAGACAATAAATGAATATACATGACATGATATCAGAAAGTGGTAAATACAATGAAAAAGATCAAAGCAAAGGAAGGAGATTGTATGAGGAATGTGCTACTTTAGATCTGCTGGTCGGGGAAAGCCTCTCTTGGTTAAGATGAGTTAGAGAGCTAATCTTCACCCAGATCATCTTGGTCCAGGATGACCTTGTAGGTAACGGAAAGGACTTAGGATTTTATGTTTCAGAAAACCAGTGGAGAATCTTAAGCAGGGATATGGTTTGGATGTGGTTCATTGCAGCCATGACTCATGCAAAAGCTGAATTGCTGGTGTGGCTGTGTTTGAAGGTGGAACCTAGTGGCAGATGTTTTCATCATGGGCATGGATCCCTCATGGATCCTTCATGAACAGAATAATGCCCTTCCTTGGTGGTGAGTGAGTTCTTGCTCTCTGGAGAATGGATTAGTTACCATGAGAGCAGATTGTTAAAAAGGATCTGGCTTCCTCAATTTCATTCTCTGGCTTCCTTTCTCACGTGTGTTCTCTGCCTAATCTTGGACTTTACAGCCACCAGAATCATGAGCCAAATAAACATCTTTTCTTTATCAATTACCCAGGTTCAGGTATTTTCTTCTAGCAACACAAAAAGAACCAAGACAAGCAGGAAAGAGACATGATCAGATTTGCCTAATCAAAGAATCACTGTGGATTCTGGGCAGAAGTTTTACTAAAGGGAGACAGAAGTGGAAGCAGAGACCATAAGAGTACTCTTCTGCAACACAGGTGAAAAATGTTGGTGGTTCACATTAGCATGATACAAAGGGATGTGGAAGAAGTACTGGGATTTCAGATGTATTTTAAGTTACTGCTGGCCTAGCTTATGGCTTGAATGTAAAGTGACATGGGAGAAAAAAATCATTACGGGAGGTGTCAACATTTTTGGCTTCAGCAACTCTGTGCATGGTGATCTACATACATGGTTAAGGATGAAGAGCTGATTTGGGAAGGAAAGTAAGAAATCAGTTATTCAGATCTAGACACATTAAGCTTAAGATGCTCATTAGATATTAAACAGATACTGGGTAGGCAGTTGGGTCTGAGTCTGGAGTTTGAGGAGAGGTTGGGTCAGGAGGAAAACATTTGGAAATGAGTAGCATATTTTAAGCCAGGAGACTAAATGATATCATCTTAGCAAATGAGTATACGAGAAGCAGCAAGCTAATGTCTGAGCCTTGGGGCACTCCAGTGTTTAGAGTCTGGGTAGAAAAGAAGACTCCAGCAATAGGGACAAATCACAGGAGACCATCTAGAACATTCCCCACCACACCTACTAGTCTGTTCGTACCAGTACCCTCCTCTGCTCTTGCTACATAAACTTCTCCACAGCTCACCAGTTCACCTACCCACAGAATCCTATTTCTTCTCTTGTGCTAAAGGACATCATTTCAGCAATATAACCCTCTCCATTACACAAATTCAGACTTCATTTATCTATCATACTGTCCATCAGGATACAGATCTCCTTAAAAAACAAATACATAAAAAGGAACGCTGCTTTCCCTTATATCTACCTTCAGGTACTGCTCATTTTATGATCTCCCAGAAAGCAACACTTCTCAAAAGAGCTGACCAAAGTTGCGACCGTTCATTCCTCTTCTATTCTCTTTTGAACCCACTCTAGCCTGAACTTTTGACCTCAACACTCCACAAAACCTTCACCAAAATCTTCCACATTGCCAAGCCCAAAGGCCAACTCTCCAGCCTTTAAATCACTGATCACTCTTCTTTCTTGAGATTGTTGTTTCACTTAGTTCCCAAAACATCACTTGTTCTTGTTCATTTTTCTATCTTACTAGACTGCCTCTTCCTGGACTCCTTTAATTCCTCCAACAATTATGTACTGCCTATTTTGCTCCAGGCATCGTTCTTGGCACTAGAGATACAGCAGTGAACAAGCCAAAGCCCTTCCTCTCATGGAGCATATCACCTTCTATTAGGTAGAAACAAATGAGGATGCTCTGGGATCCAGGTGAAGACAGTGTTTCAAGAAGGCAGGGGTGTTCAGCAGGTTGAGGTCAAGTGAGATGAGGACTGTGAATTAACCACTGCATTTGGCATTGAGGGGGTTGAGCAAAGCCTGACGTTGTGAGTTTTAGTGAAGAAGTAGAAATAGAAATCTGCTTGAAGTGGGTTTAAGATAAAATGGCAAGTAAGGAAGTGGTTGTTGCACGTGTACTTACCCCTTTTCAGGGCATTTTGAGATGGGGCTACTCGCTTTTCATTTTTTTTTTCCTGGAAAAAACTTTTTTCCAGAAAAAAATATTTTTACTTCACTCTTCATTTTTGATGTCTTAGCTTACGTGTCTCTCAGTGAGGTCCCTACCACTCAGTGTCCCTTGTTCTTACTTTGTCATTTTCTCTCATGGGCCCATCTTAATTTTCCTTCACAGCACTGTCATGTTCATAATTATAGACTACGGTGTTTGAAATGTGTTTATAACGTCTGTTCCACTATGTTTTAAATTCCATTAAGACTATTTGAAGCTCTGTGAGCTGAGTGCCTAGAGTGTTTCTGGCACAATGCGTTTCTTATTTAAATGAGTGAATGAATGAATGCATAACCAGTCCTTTTCCTCCGGAAACTCTGGTGCAAAGTGTGCCATATCACTTGGTTAAAACGGAACTACATTTCCCAGAATGCCATTCCCTTTATGTCTCCTGAACACAGTTGGTGTGGGGGAAATTCGTACAAGGTTTAGAAAGTACAAGTAAATGACTAGTCATCATCTTGGGAGTTCTTGAAGTCAAATATATGGAGAATAGACAGATTCTGAAGTGCCCAGGAGATTCAAACTCGTCACTTCTCTTCTGTATTTCTTGTCTAGCTCTTCTTTATGACTACTAGACCTGGCTTCAAAACCAGTTTCAAAACCAGGTGTTTGACCATTCCCCAGAGGTGGAACTAATCAGGGGCCATAGTTTCCCCTACCCCTATTAAGGACATTCCCTTTGCAGTCTCAGTAAACTCTCTTAGTTTTCCCTGCAAGCCTACGTTTGTCCACCCTGAACCAGCGCTTCAGAAGGGCCGGATGGTGACTCTATCTCCCTTCCTCCAACTCTCTCTTCTGCATATGACTTTCCTAGTATTTGCCACAATTAGATATGTGTAATTCTACAAAATAAATATCCAAAGTCACAGTGACTCTGGTTTCCTAACCAACCTTGGTTGTTGATATTGTTACCTCTGGGCTTAGATACATGGAATTCTCTCCTCCAGGACTGAGTGCTTTTCCTGTGCGTTCTATGGAATTATATCATATACTGTTTGATAGACTACATGAGCCGCATGAGTCATAGTCCCAATGAGAGACACATGGCACATCAGTAATGGAGCACTGAATGAAGATATTGTTTACAGAGCCTAGAGCTGGGTTGAGGGTTAAGTGAAACCACTGAGGCTTGGTAAGGCCTCCTGAGCCAGGAACAATGAATGACAAGAACCTAGTCCAAATGAACAAGGGACTGAGCAATTTCAGGAACCTGGGATACTGGAGGAATCTATAAGAGACAGCCTGAGAGGAGGCAGGACCAACCCACCGCCCCAAAGAGAGAGATTTGGGGAATAAATACCTTCGCTTCAGGGTCTCCCATCCTCCCATCCCTGCCAAGTCCTCCCATTGCCCAAACTCAATCATAAGTCAGAGGGCAAGGCACTGTGGTTGGCACAGTCCATGAAGATCAGCCCCCTGGGGTCTGCAGCAGGGGAATGGAACAGAGTGCATGTAGGGGCAAACGGGGAATGTTTGCCAGGCTGTTGCATTCGGATTAAACTGAGAGTAAACTAGTGCTCTTTCTCCAGCTGCAACCACCATGTTATCAGGGATCTCCTTCCTGCCACAGATATGCCTGTCTAGTTCTTTATCTGGTGCACATTAGAGTGAGCAAGATCATAAATGTTCATTCAGGTGGAAATCATTCAGCTCAAATGTACTTTTGTCTTTTTTGAGAATTACCAAGGCATAGATTTTTAATTTAGCTGCAGTGACCTATGCATCAAAACTCACAGGCTTGTTTTGGGATTTCTACATTTGGGATTGCCAAGAAAAAAAGTCATAATTTTATTGTCATTAGGACAATTAATTGAGAAGCACAAAATCCTCGATGATGGCTTCACAGTGATTCAAATGAATTTAATTAGATATTGCCTCATCCTCGTTCAACATTCGAGGTTTCGTTGAATGTCACAGTATTCCAAACACCAAATGATCCGACTGAGCAAAACAATTCAGATCATTTGAATCAGAGAAATGACATTCAATAATCACAAAAAAGTCTATGTGGAATGACTTGCGCTGGGAATTGACAGGGATTTCCTTCTAACAGTGGGGCAAGTGGCAGACAGGCCTGTCTCCTTGCCCATCTGCTGGCGATAGCAGGCTGGGATTTTCTGTGGCTGAAAGAAGGATCTCTGGATTCTGTCACTAGTCAGGAAGGCCACTGCCCCATCATTAAACTTCTGGGGTGATTTATTTGTCTTGGATGATACTGCTTGGTTACTCTCTTCTCATGCCAGGTTTTAGTATCTTCTGTCCGTTTGCCTTTTTTTTGGCTTTATGCCACTGAATAAAATTTTTACTCACATCCAGGTCCATCATTGTTTTCTTACATCTTCACATCTTTATTTGATGAATGAATCTGTTAGATGAATCCCAGTAAAGAGCAATTAGTTCTCAAAGTTTCTACCAAGGTTTACCTACTGCAGCGAAAAGTGAACTTGTACTTCCAGGATTTGTGGGAAGGAAGAGAAGACAGGTGCATCCCATTTTAAACTGGAAATCTTCTAGGTCTAATGTTTCATCAATCAAATGTATGTGGATTTTTAATTCTGTGTCACAACATCATAAAATGTAAACATAATAGTTTTCTGTGAATCTGAAAAAATTGCAGTTCCATGAAGATGGGCCATATTTTTCTGTGGCCTCACACACCCCAGCACTGGCACACCACCATGGAATGCTATCTGAGAAGGACAAATTTTTGCCTATCAAATGATCACACACCACTCCCCGTATTACATATATGAGGGTATTAGCTGTGGGAAACAAACTTTCTGGAAGAAAATTTATCAAGACCAGTCAAACATTCATGTACTCTGACCCTGAAACTCATCATTGAAATTTACCCTAGATGTGCACAAAGACAGAGCCGTGAGAGTGTTTGTCACAGGGGCAAGGTATAACTGTGAAAGTCAGAAAGAACATAAATGTCCAACGGTAGTGAACTTGAATAAATGATGGTGCATCCAAACCAGGACTATTGTACATTTCCTCCCTTTCTCTTCCTAATAGTATCTACATTTTGCTAGTATTCTCCTCCCGCTACTCCCAACCCATATAATCCAGTGGATGAACGCACCCTCTGCTCAAGAAATAAGCCCTGATCAGGAAATAAGCCCAGTTTCAGCCAATCAGGATAAGCCTGTTCTTTGCATTACAGTCATTGGTTACAAGTCCAAATGAATAGGTACAATGTTTTTCTCTCTAAAGCTTCCTACTAGAATTGACTTTCTCACTACCTCTATTCTACCCTCTTTGAATTCCTAGGGCTAGAAGATTAAATATTGTACTTAGAACGTTCAAGACGCTTTGAGACCAGGTTTCTCCCATTAAGTTCTCCCAGTTGAATACAGTCACTTGAGACTTGGAAGCTGGCAGGAAGGTGGACCCATCTTACTATGATGATGTAGACAGATTTGAGTGCTGGCAGTTGCCAGTGTCCCTGAACCTGTTTCTTCACCTGTAAGGCAGGGGGAACACTGAATACCCTGCATGGAACCGTGGTAGATGCCTTTATGCCCTCTTTTTCAATATTTCTTATCTGGACATTGCAATGGTACTGTCACTCACCAGAGTGGTCTGAGCATTCTTGGATACAGATGACTATGGTCATAACTTTATTATGCCCATAATCGGGGGTGTGTTTAAGGATGTAAGCAAAGTGGGTCACTGCATTCAGGGCAGGAAAGATCTGCTCAGACCCTGGGTTTTCCACACCATGACTGTGGCTTCTTTATAAACGTATCCTGGGCCAGCCTGAAAAAATTCCAGGCAACAGAAGTTTGCTTTTTCCACAAGAGAAACTGAATAGGATCTCAGGGACCAGAGAGTTATTTTTGGCTCTAATACTTTCTAATTGACCCTGGGTAAATAAATTCACCCCTGATGACACACCTGTTAGTTCATCAGAAGAAAGGTTTGAAATAAGCTCTTTCAATTTTAGCAGCTTCGTGTATTAGTGATGCAAAATCATTCAAAATTTTTATGCAAACTCAATCTTTACGTAACTGAAGGTCAGCCCTGAAATGCCTTTATTTCACATATATTGCTTAAAACATGCCCTTTAATAAATCTGTCCCAGAGTACAAAACATTAAAAAAAAACCAATAAAGTGTATTGCACAGAATAGCAAGGTCCA